TTTGCGGACCATTTAGGTCCCTGTGGTCAAGATAAACTGCTACCGAAAACTGGGGGTGTTGGAATGTAGACGTTTTGTAGTTTAAGTTGAGTTTTGATTAGGGATGGATTTGCAAAGAGGATGAGACCACTTGGAAAACAGTTCGGGCACCATTTGGGAGCCGCTGGTCTCCTAGCTTGGTTGATGGACGGGATAAAATGAATACTAGAGTAAGCTGAAAGCATCCTAACGCGTCGATGAAGTACAATTACTTGTTAACTCTTCCCCTTCCTTTCTTTGGAAATAACTTTTTCCATCCCCGCAACTTCTCCCGGCTAATGACCAAAAGCCTCAAATGGGTTCAGGTTGTGAAGTGAGGCGGTGATCATTCAGAAACCTCAAACTATGAGTTAATACACTTTCAGACTACGGGATTGTTTGGTTTGGTTTGGTTTGGTTTGGTTTCGAGACCGGGTTTCTCCAAGCAGGCCTTGAACTCACAGACATTCATCTGCCTGTGTCTCCTGAATCCTGGGATTAAAAGTGTGTACCACCACTGCTGAGCCTCTTTGGCTGTGACTAGCTTTACATTCTCATCTTCAGACAAGCTTTGTTAGATTATAAACAAAGTATCACCACAGTAGTTAGCGCCCTCGATATTAAATGTTTTCCCAAGAGGATCATCAGCTGACTAAGCCTTTCACACAATACTTCTTAAAAGGGGGGAACACTTCATAGCCAAATAACAACATATTTATACGTGCATATATGGACACACATCCACATAAGTCCACATAATGCATACATTGTTGCTATTATTATTTTCAGCAAATTGTGATATTATAATTAGTCATGATAGCCGAGCAGTGGTGGCGCATGCCTTTTATCCCAGCACTTGGGAGGCAGATGCAAGCGGATCTCTGTGAGTTCGAGGCCAGCCTGGTCTCCAGAGCGAGTGCCAGGATAGGCTTTGAAGCGACACAGAGAAACCCTGTCTCGAAAAACCAAAAAAAAAAAAGAAAGAAAAAAAAAGAAAAAAAAAAAAAAAGAGCTAGTTCCAGGACAGTCTCAAAGCCACAGAGAAACCCTGTCTCAAAAAAAAATTAAAAAATAGCCATGATAATGTAAAAAATTAAGTTATAACTGTAACTTCATGTGTCCCTTGTCCTCATTTTCTTTATGAAGTTTTGAATTTCTGAGCTGTATTGCTTATTTCCCTGGAAGGAAGATCTTTGTGCAACAAATTCTTTCCATTTGTTTGAGAAGGTCTTTATGTCTCCTTCAGTTTTATGGGATAATTTTTAAAAAATGTAAAATTGTAGTTCAGTAAAGTTTCAGGCTTTCATTTTCTTTTGGGGGTTTTTTTTGTTTGTTTGTTTGTTTGTTTGTTTGAAGAATGGTGTCTTGCTATATGGCTGAGATTGGCATCAGACTTACTTAGTAGCCCAGGCTAGCTCAAACTCTCTGTCCTCTTGCCTTTACTTCCAGAGGGTCTAGGTATAGATGTCAGTCACCATATCCAGCTTGTGTCAGCACTTTGAATATCCCCCTCTACCCTCTTCTGTTTTGCATGCTGTCTCAAAGGTAAATGAAACTTTCGGCCTCC